GCAATACAGAATCAACTATGGTTACCCTAATGCCACTTGTTGTCTTCAAAATAGCTGCAGATACTTTCAGACATACTAAAAATCAAACAAAACAGAACAGAATAGAACCAATAAAAACAAAACAATGAATACAATAAAGGACTTCAAAACAAGACAACAGTAAATCCAAAATGGCTATATCTTGCTATCTTTGAAATAGCTGTCCATGTGATTGTATTCAACAAAATCAAACAAAACAAAACAGAATAAAACCCAACCCAACAAAACAATGAAAATGATACAGGACTTCAAAATAAGATAATAGGGAACTAATAATGGCTACACATTCAGAAGAAGATACCCCATAGATACCACACTGTGTACTGTTATCCCCTGAATAGATGATCAGACCACCGGCTCTAGACCTGCAAAGTCAGTGAAACACCAAACACCATAAGCATCAAATCACATTTCACCTCAGGAGCTAACATCACAACCTGTGTTTCTCTGAATCAGCTGGTCACTTATGGGGAGGTAGGGCTGGCTTTTCTTGTTTCCCAGACTGCACACCAGAAGGGGCTGGGGTCTGGCTGTCCCCTCAGCAGCCCACACAGGGCATTAATTCACAGGGAAGACTTGCTTCTTGGTGATTTCTTGTTCTCTTTCCCTGCAGTCTGCAAATGGCTCTGATTCACGGGGAAAAGGCTGGGGTCTGGCTGTCTCCACTGTTGGTGGTTTCTTTTGCTGTGCAAAAGCTTTTTAATATGATGAGACCCCAGTTGTTGATTCTTTATAATATTTCCTGTGTGGTCAGCATTTTATTCACAAAATCTTTACCTACACCTATGTCTTTGAGAGTTTTACTTATTCTATCTTCCAGCAGATTACGTGTTGTTTTAATATTTTGATTTTTAATCCATTTCAATTTTACTTTGGTGCATAGTGAGAGATATGGTTCTAGGTTTAATCTTTGGCATGTAGAAAGCTAGTTTTTCAAGCATCACTTATTAAAGATGCTTTCTTTCAGTAAAGGTAGTTAGCCCCACTGTCAAAGATAAGGTGGCTGAGTGTGTTTGGAATTGTCCTGCATCTTCTAATCTGTACCACTGATCCTCAGGCCTCTTTTTGTCAATACTATGCTGTTTTTATCACAGTACCTCTGTAGTATAATTTCAAGTCAGGGATTTGATGTGCCCATCTTGCCTTTGTTGTCCAGAACTGCTTTTGCTGTCCTAGGTCATTTCTGGTTCCAAATTAATTTAAGGATTATTTCCTTTCATTATGTGAGATATGCGTTGGTATTTGATCAAGATTGCATTAAATATGTATTAATAGTTTTGGAAGGATGGTCATTTTCACTATATTGGTTCTGCCTTGCCAAGAACAAGAAATATGTTTTCCTTTCCCAGAGATCATCTTTTTAAACTTATTTTGAAACAATTTTACACTTACACAAACCTTACAAAAATATTCAAAGAAAGCACTCATTCAAATAGGAAGTCCACTGGCTACTAAAACTGGAAAGATGTGGAGCTCCCCTGTCCCAGCCAAACTATACCTATGCAGTAAGGCCCAGGTTCAAGAGTGAATTCAGGGCTATGACACTGGAGTCTGTCTTGCTTAACTCTTTCTTATTGTACTTTTAGTTGGCTTATTCAAAAAGCAGATGGATCTCAGGAATTAATTGAGAATCACAGAAAACTAAATGAACTAGAATTAGCAGTTGCTGACATTGTATGTCTCTGGGGGAAATTTCTGTAAATCATCCCTGGTCAGTGCTGTTCAGTTTTGAAGGCCTGTTAATTGCAAAATCATATGATTACAGTAGTATGGTACAAGTTCTAAATTTAGCCTCAAAATAAAAGGTTAGAGGGATATGCACAGGACTTCTACATAGCAATAATATTGACTCCTTTTTATGTTAAATGTCGTTATACTTCCCAAGTGCATAAGTCTTCTGAAATACAAAGTTTAAAAAAAACACATTATAATAATGGTATCTTGCAAATTAAAGGTTTTTATAATAGATTTTTTTTTTAGTTCTGTGGTTGTGTTTCTAATGGCATTATGGTAATTAAATTTAGTTCTGTATTTATGTGTTTTTAATTGTATTATGATCATTAAAAACTGCATTCCAGGCTGTGTCATTCCAATAACTACAGGGGTAAAGATTATTTACTTAGACATCACATCTGTAAACAAGTACATTATATTTCAAAAGACTATAATTCTGACAAAACTAGATTTACTATATTTCTTAGCACATTTAGCAGTGGTTTGGTTTTACTATCTTTTGCTTACTTTTCCTTATAAAACTTTGTAACTGTTGTCTGTTCCATTCTTCAGGAGCATGACTTCTAGCAGACAACCTAACAATATTTTAATATGAGAGGAGTCCCTGGACCTAGAGGAAACTACCATAGTTAATATTAGAGCCCACTGATACCATTTCAAGACTGGAGTAAGTGACCTTCTGAGTGTTCAACAACCAAAGCATGGAGAGTTAAGAAAGATAAAAGGACTAAGGGGACAAATAATATTTGGCCTTTGCCCTCTAAGGTCAGTCAGAACCCAGGGTAAAACAGGACCCTATTAAAATGATCCTGTTACTTCAGTGAGTCACTCACCCTCAGAGCAGGGAAATTGTGGGGACCCTAAACACCAGAGGCCAGCCCAGCCATTGTGCATTCTGCAAAAATGATGGTCATGGGAGAGGGAAATGTCCTCTTCTTCCAAGGTGAGCCAGAAAACCAAGCAGGAGAAGATGCAATGTCATCTCTGAGGTAAGTGGAAAAATTCTACCTGGATCAAGCCAAAGACTCTGGCTATTATAAAGTTCTCAACCCTAAGGGCACAGAAATTAATACTTGGTTTAGTTCTGGAGACAGCATGCCATCCATCTTGGAATTAAGCTACTTTCTTCACTGAGTCTCTACATAGCACTGTACTTTGTTTGGGGCCACTTTCCTCAAATGAGTACGAAGTATTTTCTATGGTAGCTGACGCTACTTTGGGATATGGTCACCCCTCACTGAAAGGGTTTTGGCCCAGGCTGGACACTGCAGCCTGTAAAGCCAAAGAGCTCCTATCTCCCCCGCCCTTGGGAATCTACCTCTGGCGCCAAACTAAGACCAATGGGCTGCCTGTGCATCTCTAACGCTCCCCTTAGGTTCCACCCCAAGCCGAAGCTACTTATGTGCCTCACTCCACATGTTCCACAGAGAGATCTCTAGCCCCGGGAGTGGAGATGCCATGCCCCAGGGGGTCGGGGGTGTCTCTCCCTGCATTCCCAAAATAAAGGTCATTTATATTTCATACTTCTTACCTTTTCAGCCACCACCGGTCCTCCTCTCCCCACAGTTCTATCACTAAACTCTGCACTTATCTCTTCATTGAGCTGCTAGGGATAGAACATCTCTGAGGAAAATGGTTCAGTGCCTCAGCCCAGGCCACCTCTTCAGCTGCTTTTCCCTCCTGTGCCAGACAGCAATTCTCTTCATACATCACACACGTCATACATTTGTTGGTGGGCACATCTGAGCCTCTCCATTAGAGTATGTCCCTTCCAGCTACTCCTCTAACTAGAGTCCTTTCCTTATCTTCTGTTATCATTCAATGAATGCTCTTGCCTGTAAATTCATACTTGCACTTTTGTTTTAATTTCTATTATTGTGTTAGCTTGGACCCCAGAATAAAACCCAAGGAAGCAAGAAATTAAAATTTGGGGAGCAAAGGCTTTATTTTAGGCCAGGCCTGGCGTCACAGTCTCCAGGAGCCAATTTGGAGACTGGGAGCCTTACAGCTAGAAAGGTTGGGTTTTAAAGCCAAAAACCACAGGAATGTTATAATCGCTGACAGTTAGGTAGCAACTGGGCTTTATAGAACTTCCTGTAATTTCCTTGAAGTTAAGCATTTCTTAAAGAACAGCACATTTTATTACAGATACCCAGATGAGGGGTAGGGGAGGGGGTTACAGGAAACTGATACCTAAGGCTTTTACAGCTTTCTCAGGAAATTGAAACTTAACCTGGATAGATAGGAAGGGGAAAGGGGAGGAGGAGGCAGTAAGACGCATACAGAACAGAAAATGAGGCGCAATGGTTAAAACTAGGTTACAACAATTATCAGTAAAATAAGGACTCACACTAACCAGTAACAGTGTCTCAGCTCAGCAAAGACAGGAATTGGCAGGGCAAGGGTATAGTGAAATGGAGTATTTATGAACTTTTTACTGTCTGCATCATGATCATAGATTATTTCCCTCTAGGAAAGCAGCAGGTCTTGCCAGTCAGCTCTCTTCCTTGATTCTACAGGATTAAATCTTAGTTTCCCTAAATAGGAAAAGAAAGTGCTCTAAAGAATATAACTGCATATATATTTATGTGTATAAGATAGATAACCATATTACTGAGTTTTGTTGGATCATTGAACAAAACTGTTTGCAGTCTCACTGTTTGAAAGTCCCCTCTATATGCTTTAATTTTGTAACTTGAACAACTATTTCTAAGATGACAATATATAATATGTAATTAACTAGTGATTTCCTACTGTTTATTTTTTCTGAAATTCTGTATAACTTGTACCCTTTTTCTGTCTTTTTTTCTCCTTAAATAAAATTTTAAAAAAATAAATAAATAAAATAAAATTATTGTCCCTGTCCATGAAAATAATCCCTTTATGGAACTCTTCCCAAATGACTCAGTTTACATGGTCACTTGTTTCATGCTAAAATCCTAACTAGTGGAACTCAAAACTGACACTCCCAGGGAGCAGACCTATGAGTTCACAATCAGTACTCTCTATATCCACATGCTGATACGGACTGGCCAGTGACAGCAGAACTTCTAGAGCTTTTAATGATACAAATAGTCTCAAGCTAAAGCCCCTACTTCTCACTTAAAGCTTTTTTTGCCTTGTTAGTTTGTGCTCTTTGCTCAGGCTGAGTTTATTATCATGGAGACCGAAGTTCCCTCTTAGGAACGTACCCTGTCCAGGCTTTCAGGTTCACTCTTAAATTTTACCTCTATTTCGTCACTTGCAGCAGTAATCATCACTCTCTTCTCCACCCAGGAGGGCGGTGCTGTATTACGTGAACTGAGGGGTCCTCGTGCAGCTGACACCAACAGACCAGAGCGGTCTGGGGAGCTCCACCGGAAGCGCTTCCCCGGAGGAGAAGCCAAGCGCTGAGCCAACTCCGCCCGCCAATCCAACTTTATTCACTCAGGGACCCATGGCGCCCACCGTGATCGTGGAGCCCGCGGGCCGCAGCCTCTGGGACGAGCCGCTGCGCATCGCCGTGCACCGCCTCGCCCCCCAGCAGCCCGTCACGCTGCGCGCCGCCCTGCGCGACGAGAAGGGCGCGCTCTTCCGGGCCCACGCGCGCTACCGCGCCGACGCCGCCGGCCGGCTGGACCTGCAGCGCGCGCCCGCGCTGGGCGGCAGCTTCGCGGGCCTGGAGCCCATGGGGCTGCTCTGGGCCATGCAGCCCGACAGGCCTTTCTGGCGCCTGCTCAAGCGGGACGTGCAGACGCCCTTCGTGGTGGAGCTGGAGGTGCTGGACGGACACGAGCCCGAGCAGGGCAAGCTGCTGGCCAGCGCGGTGCACGAGCGCCACTTCCTGGCGCCCGGGGTGCGGCGCGTGCCTGTGCGGGAGGGCCGCGTGCGGGCCACCCTCTTCCTGCCCCCAGGTGAGACACTGCTGCCCCCTCTGGTCTAACCTCTTCTGTCTTCCTCTCCCAAGCCCTCCAAGGAACCCTTAGAGGTCTGTGGTCACTGCAAGTGTGACAGACTTTTTGGCTACAGTTAAAGTCTGAGCAGTACCGAAGGTGCTTAGAATGCCTGGCTTTCTCAGAACCTGCTGAGGTGGAATCTGATTGGGGACAAGAGAAACTGGCAGGTGATTTGTATACAGGTCCACGATGGAGCTCAGGGGCTCTGGATCCAGAGGAACTAGCAGCCTCTCCAGGAAACTTTTTAAAAATGCTATTTGGTCCTCCCACACTGCAAGAGCCTGCAGGTTGGGAGTGGAACCAGCATCCTGAGTTGAACCACTTTTCCCTGTTGTTTCTGAGGCAGATGAAGAGTGAGAACCTGTGCTTAAAGCAAAGGGACTTGCAAAGTGCTGGGGCTCACCGAGAGCTGTTCTCAGGGTCTCTGTCAATAGTTGGAATTCCCTTTCAGCAGAGTCAGACTTGGGACTGCTGACTGACAGACAGGCGTGCACATAGAAGGCACAAAGGTAAGGATAGTTTAGCGGGGTATGGTGGTGCAAGCCTATAGTCCCCAGCTCTTAGGAGGCTGAGGCATGGAGGATGGCCACCAGTTTCAGGGACTGGCCTGAATTACATCCCAAGAACCTGTCTCAAAAACAAAATAATTTGGGCCAGGGATATAGCTCAGCGACATAGCACCTGCCTGGTAGATGTGAGGTCATGAGTTTGATCCCCAACACCAAAACAATAAAAATAATAATAACAGAACTATTTATATCTTAGACAGTAGTTAAATTTTCCTCTTGCCAAAACTCTGTCCCTAACACTGCTACAGAAAAAAGAATAAACTTCTAAAATTGGAAATGTGGTTCTTTAGTAAAGGAAATAATGTAATATTTGCATATTTAAATAGTAACAAGCAAATATATCAATAGGACAAGGGGTCTACATTAAAGTGCTGTCTTCTATATGTTATCTTTCCTTGACTTACATGGGACGCTGTATTTCTGTGAAGTACTTGATGTCTTATAATCCATTATCCCAGTTACGATAGTTTTTAAACTTCAGTGTTTCTTTGGGAGGTTGAAAACTATAATTCCTACAGTTCCAAAGTGGAACAAGGTTTAAGAGAATAATGAACAACATACTTAACCTTGCCAGGAATTAAGTTTTACAATTAAACATGTTGATATATGTACAGCCAAATAGATCAACAAAATAGACACTGCATAAATTGACCTATGCCCATAGGGAAGCATGAAATATGACACAGGTCAAGAACAGTGAATCTTTTAGTACTCTCAATGATAACAAACAGGTGGCTGTGGTCCATGTGCCATAGTTTTGCCACCAACGATATAGGTAGTAGTATAGATTATTGGGGAAAGGCAGTTATATTGGCTTCTTATTGAAATTGCTGTCTTATACACAAAAATGAATTCCAGGTAAACTGAAGACATGTATATGAAAGCTATAACATTACTAGGAGCTGGACAATGTGTCACACACTTGTAATCTCAGCTACTCTAAAATCTGAGGAAGGAGGATGTCAGGTTTGAGATCAGCCTAGGCAACTTAGTGAAGAACTTGTCTCAAAATATGAAAGGCCTGTGGGTATGGCTCAGTGTTCCCTGACTTCAAGGCTGTGGGGTTTCACAAATTGAAAAAAGGAGGAAAAACATTGTGGGTGTATTCATAAGCAATAGAAGATGTTTCTAGTATGAGTCAATAAAGGCACCCCCAACTTTTTAGAAAAACAGGCCCAAGAGATGGCATTCCATTGCAAAGGAAACAGGAAAAAGAAGGCCAGTAAACATGTGAAGAGATTCTCAACTCAGATAACATAAACAGGCACATTAAAAGTATTAGGAAATTCCTTCTCATACCTCATATCCCTCAAACAAATATATTTGTTGAAAACCTGGTTTCGAGTGTGGGTGAAGATGTGATGCAGTACCACAAACAGTCTACACCTGTCGTGCGAGTGTAAATCAATAAAGCACCTTTGAAAAACAACTTGGTAGGTTTTAGTCAAAATTCAAATGTACATATTATCTAAGTAACTTAGGCGTGTATCTTGTATGTACAGTGCTTGAAAAATGCTTGTATGTGGAGCTTACAGGATACTTAAAGCAGCAGTTGCAGCAACCTTAATGATCATCAAAGAAAACCACGTAAATTTTTCATCAACCTATTATATATAGTATAGATGGGTTTTGCCACTGGCCTCAGATGTGGAAAACAAAAACTCATAACCTGGAGCTTTGTTAACTAAAACCTGACTTACAAAGAAGTGGGACTCTGGGCGGGAGGTGGAGATGAAGTGTGGACTGAGTTTGACCATTCTGATGGCAATCTGGAAGACGATAAGCCTTGACATAGAATGTCCAGACATTGCCTAAGACTTTGCAGTTTTTTCTCACAATGGATTTTGACATCACCATAATGGAAGCTCGATTAGAATTTTTGAGTTGCAAGTAAAGACTTATTGTTTCTTAAATAGGAAAGGGATTTACTGTGAGGTAAAGTTTAGGATCCAAATTGTCCCAAAGACTAGGATCAGAAAAATGACAGTCAAGGGAGACTTCACCAAGAACCCTGCTAAGGTCACAGTACTGTGCCAACACTGGACATCATTAATGCTGGACCCTCGGTACCACATAAGGACTCCTGTGGACTCAGTGCCACTGCTGCTACCCTGAGTAAATTCTAAATCCTCCCTACCTCTCGCTATCACTCAAGGAAGTGAATCTAGGTCACACGATGAGGAAATCTCTCTCCACCCTTGGTGATATTGTTAAGTTCTCTGAGCCCCTACATAGCATCCTTTCAAAATAGGAGAGTAATGGATGTTCACCCACCCGGGAGGCTTCCCAAATAATGAGAATCAGATTCTAAAAGTCACCCATCCGAAGGACTACATCTTTGTTTTGTTTCTTTTCAAGGACCTGGGCCCTTTCCTGGGATCGTGGACCTTTTTGGAGTTGGAGGAGGCCTTCTAGAGTATCGAGCTAGTCTGCTGGCTGGGAAGGGCTTTGCTGTGATGGCTCTAGCTTATTATAACTATGATGACCTCCCTAAACACATAGATGTTTGCCACCTGGAGTACTTTGAAGAAGCTGTGAACTACCTGCTCTGTCACCCTCAGGTTGGCTATTCCTTCAGTCTTTTGGTTCAGATAGCAGGCTCTAAATACTTCCCCGATGTAGTACAGATTTTCAGCTAAGTGACCTTAGGATCCTCTATGGAAAAAAAAAAAAAACAAATATTAAGTGTCCACAGTCTGACAGAGAAAATGTATATTTCTGAGCTGGAGTGATAAATTTGGGCATCCAGCCAGGTGTTAGATCCCCAGTTAGGGTTGACCAAACATTTTAATTTTGCCCAAGACAGAGGGTTTTTGGGGATGCAGGCCTTTGGTGCTAAGACCCAGATAGGCAGAGGTAAATCAGGAGGGATGGTGCTGCTTTGTGGGCAGCAAGTTTGTATTCAGTCTCCAAACTTATTATAAAAGCTAAATGAACCACACTTGTTAAATCGTTGAAATGGGCTCGACATTTGATGATTAATTTACATTCAATCATGCAGCAAACACTAGAGGAACTAGGCATTTTTGAATGCATAGAGTGAAGAGGATAAGGTCCATGTCCACATGACACACAATACAGTTGTAGGGACTGGGGAGGAAAGGTTAGGGAAAAAGGAATCTCAGCAGTAAAAACACTAATAATGAAATTAAAAGGATGTTGATGAAGAATAGTGTGCATGAAACTGTAGACCCCCTTATCACTAGTCATCATACTCTTAGTTGGACCATTTAGCTTTTAAACCTTTCAGTACCCACTACTGCTTACATATTAAAAATAAACACAAAAGATAATTAGTAATGATGTAGTAGCTGCCAAATAGGCTTATGTGAATTCTTTCAGTTTTTTTGTAAACACTTGATGGTAATTTTATACTGCATATATATGCTGTATAAGCTAGAAAACATTTTTATTGCTTCCAACATTCTTTGCACAAATAATTCAGTATGGAAATTTTTTTGTTTTATAAGTACAGCCCTTCTCTTCACCAATACTGTATGATACTGTACTTTACCAATACTGTTCTTAGAGTCTTATATGCAAATGTACTATTAGCTAAGTTTTCACATTACATGTTTTCCAGTTTCCCTGGATATATCTCAATGCAAAACACATTGAAAGATAAAGACGCTGGAGACCACCATTCCACACCTGGACTTGAATGCTTTTGTTTGACAAGCATTATGCCAAGTGCTTTACATGTGGCTTCTCATTTGTGCTTTGCATAGACTGTGACTTAGGGGTTCACTCCTCATCCCTCTGCTAAAGAAACTGAGCTTTAGAGAGCGTTAGTGATCTTAAAGTTGAGGTACTGATAGAGTCAGATTTGGGCTCAGATCTAGCTGAGTTATAGGTAGGTACTGCTTCTTGGATCATGAACTTACTCTCTTTTTTTTTCTGCCCTTTTCTCAGGTAAAGGGCCCAGGAATTGGGCTGCTGGGAACTTCCAAAGGCGGTGAAATAAGCCTCGCCATGGCCTCTTTTCTGAAGGGCATCTCGGCTGCCGTCATCATCAATGGCTCTGTAGCTGCTGTCAGAGCACCCATATACTATAAGGATGAGTCTGTACCTCCTGTCCCTGTCATGAGGAATCGAATGAAGATGACCAAAGATGGGATCATGGATGTTATGGATGCCCTGAAAAGCCCTTTGGAAGAACCAAAGAGCTTCATTCCTGTGGAAAGGTCTGACACCACCTTCCTGTTCCTTGTAGGTCAGGATGACCACAACTGGCAGAGTGAGTTCTATGCTAGTGAGGCCTCCAAGCGCTTGCAGGCCCATGGGAAGCAAAAGCCCCAGGTCATCTGTTACCCAGAAGCTGGGCACTATATCGAGGTGCCTTATTTCCCCTTGTGCAAGACTGGTTGGCATAACTTGGTGGGTGCTCCTATCCTGTACGGAGGGGAGCCCAGGGCTCATGCCATGGCCCAATTGGATGCATGGAAGCAACTGCAGATTTTCTTCCACAAACATTTGGGTGGTAAAGAGGGGACCATTGCAGCAAAACTCTAGTTTTTGTTTGATCAGGTAACATCCCTGGTTCTTATCTCTTCTAGAAATAGCTCGAAGCTAGTATATATATTTTGTTTTCCGTTAAAGAATTACATAGTTTTGCGTCAACAGATATGTGTCAACTGCACACGTTATCAGTTTGTGGAGGGGAAAAACTGAAGAAAACATAAGGACAAAAAAAAATTCTTACGTTCTACTGCTTTGAAATGTGACTAAGGGGGCTGGGGATTAGCTCAGCGGCATAAGCGCCTGCCTTGCAAGCAGGCAGTCGTGAGTTCGATCCCTGGTACCGATAAAAAGGAAAAAGACAAAAAAAAAAAAAAAAGAAATGTGACTAAGAAGGTTTTAGGTCCTAAAGGAAAAGTGAATACCATTTCAGGTACCAGCACCATAATTTGAGTGTGTCTTAGTTATTTCACTCATTGCAGAGACAAAATACCCAACATTCAAAGTAAAGAGAAGAAGAGTTTTAGTTAAACCAGCAACCCTTCATTTGGGCCTATCCAAGTATCTGTTGAGTGATCTTTTGAGATGAAAAGGTGGAAAAACTACTATGTTTTGAACACGCATTCCAAGAAGACCACTGATTGCTTCAACTCCAGTCACCTTCCATAATACCTTGTCGTACACTTCTTCACCACATGAATACTGCTAAACACTACACTCAGTGACATAGATTTGAGACTCGCCTCCCCCCACTCAACTGTCTTGCAAACAACTTCTGTTGTGTAAAATACATTGTTTCAGTCATTGGCAGACTGTGTCACGGGAAAATGGGACTAGTTTGTTAGCAATGCAAGTATGTTGGACCTAATATAAGACTGACTTCATTATAAATTTATGGAAGAAACTGGAGAAAGAGGGGCTGGTGAGGAAGGTATATTTCCCACTCTTTCCCTTTGCTGGAAAATGAACACAGGGCCCTATTCAAAAAGCTTGTTTGTTTTGTTCAACCAAAAAAATGCTCCAGAAGTTGAAAGCATAGCGCTAACAGACCTATTACAATTCAGAAATAGATAGAAGTAATGACCAGTGGTGTTTAAGGTGTGGGGAAAGCTGCTCCCCACCAAGTCCTGTTGGTGAGTGAATCCTTTGGTGAGCGAGTACTTTCCTTGTTGTTGAATAGGAAGCATTTTATTGAAGACTGGAAATTGTGGTTTCTTGGTGCCAAATTTTTGCCTTATATGGACATACCAGGCTATTAGATCGTAGCCTGTTAGCCTAAGCATAACTCCACATGCCAGTCCAGTCTTCATCACGCCAAATCATAAAAATGTACGAGTTTCTCTTGTTTCTCTGAGTTTTCACTTCAGGAGACTCTTATGTCACATAAAATTTATAGTCAAGAGCTCGGACTATAGCTCAGTGGTGCAGCGCCTCCCTGGCAAGTGCAGGGCTCTGAGTTTGAGTCCCAGTATCAAAAAACCAAAAATTTATATTCAAGAAATTTGTATGCTTCTCTCTTTTACATCAGTCACTTGTTATAGGAGTTCCTGTGATGGTGAGAAAACAAATCTTTTTGTATCTCTGCTTTCCATATCAAATTCATAACTAAAGCAGTTGGCTATTGACCTCTGGCACTAAAAAATTGCTTAGTCTGTATCAATGGGAAAAAGTAAAAGAAAGAAAGAAAGAGAGAGAGAGATAGAGAGAGAGAGAGATAGGCCCTGTAAAAATTATCCATAGTGTACTTGGTATGGTGGCACACATCTGTAATCCCATCACTTGGGAGGCAGAGGCAAGAGGATTGCTGCCAGTTCAAGTCCAGCCTGAGCTACAAAGTACACTGAAGGCCAGCCTTAACTGCACAGTGAAACACTGTCTCAAAAAGACAAAACAAACAAACAAAAAAACCCAAATTTTCATAAACCATTTCTAAAGGTGGAGAGTGTATCTCAATGGTAGACCACTTGTCTAACATGCATTAGGCTCTGGGTTCTAGCCTGAAAACCACAGAACCAACCAACTAAACAAAATTTTTCTAAAACTATCTCCCAACTATATAGATTAGACATAGAAATAGGACTAGCAAATAAGATAATTGCATTAACCTATTCAAGATGTGAGAAAAAGAAATTTAAAGCAGTCCATTTTCAAAATGAAATGGTTAACTGAGTGGAAATTACTGGCAGTTAAAATTGTTTAACTGCCTAGCAAATATCACGCATTTGGAGGGTCTCTGGATAGGCAGGACCTTGAGGAAGAGATAAAAATAGTAAAAAGAGACATTGTAGAATATAGTCTGAATAGGGGAAGACAGGAGAAAAGTCTGTTTTTCTAGCTAAGTCTAAGTTAATACATAGTATCGCAGTGTCATAAGAAACCTCTACACAGGAGCATCTCTTTCTCAGCCTTAATTTGTCTCAATTTTCAGATATATAATGTGGATTACACAGCCTTTTATAAGTTGGTACTTTTACATTTCTATTTTATTTTTGTTTTGTGAAAAAAATTCTAAGACAAATGCTGTAAGATTCTTGGTCATACACGTTTATGTAGGTTATACATGTGCATATGCTGAATGTTGTGACAAGGGCTAAATCACCAGAAGAAAATTCTGTTCCAGTTGGCTAACAGATAAATGGGTACACACATAAATTAAACTGTTAGGATTACAGTAATTAACCAAAATTCTAGTTAGTTCATATGATTGAAGTGAACCTGGGCACAATAAGTTGGCTTTAAATTTCTTGGTAAAATAAAACTGAAGTTGTCATCATACTTGTTAGCACATGTGTTACCCAGGTAGGTTATTTTATCTATGTTTGGTGTATAAAATGATAAAAGTATAATTTTACTAAGAGCAAATATACAGATGAAAATGCAATGCCACATCCATTCCTTCCCGAGTACTGAATACAACAATTTAACTTGTAGAGTTTTTTCCATTGACAATGAAATAACTTGAAACAGTGATCATGATTGCATATTATCTCAATTTTTATAAGTAATCTAAGTAATATTGTTAAAATTAAATGAGAATGTAAATGGGATGTTTATAAATGAACTTCTCAAAGTTAAAGTTACGTTAATTTAAGTAATAGATATGCATAAAATGTTTGAGTAAGTTAAAACAGTGAAACATCAACTGCTAAGTGCAAATTCAAGTACTCTTTAACTTTTTAAATTTTGTATATTGGTATGTTCATTGCACATATAAAATTTTTCTGTGAGAAATTATAACATATCTTAATAAAGTATTAAAATTATTTCTTACTGTGTCTTCACTAAAAATAAGTTTATTAAAGGTTAAAAATTCTGGGGACTGGGGATTTAGCTCAGCGGCATAAGTGCCTGCCTTGCAAGCAGGAGTCGTGAGTTCGATCCCCGGTACTGGTAAAAAGGAAAAAGACAAAAAAAAAAAAAAGGTTAAAAATTCTAATTATTATATTCAATCATACATGCAAAAATGTAAGAAAATAGTTTTATGGGAGAGTTGAGACAGGTTCCCACTGGTAGTTCAGGTTGGCCTGAAATTCACAGAAATCCTCCTGTCTCAGCCTTCTCCTTGCTGGGATTACAGGTGTGCACCATCATGCCTGACAAAAATGTTTTTTATGAGAAAAAACTACAAGAAAGACATTAAAAACCCAGATTTTGTTCTTATAATTGATTGTGATTTTGCTACTTGTACTACGTGTTTGATTACTTAGGTAAAAGAAGCTTTAAGAGTTTTTTGGTAATTTACTTGCTTTTAATATCTTCAAATTACTTTATAGCTGTGGTTACATCTGAATTATAACTCTGGTTAAATCACTCTGGTCTATAGGAACTAACTTATGCCTATGAGTTTATCCCTGATGGGAGGGATATGACTAAACACAGACTGAAGGATGAAAGATAAAAAGGTACAGAATTAATCTGGGATGCAGGGGCCAGGAGGTTCTTGCCTCTAGAGGACAAAAGAGCCATGAGCAATTGGCTTACCTTGCTTGTATTTGCTTAGACACAGGGACAACCAATTAGGGTAGCAGAGGATTCACCTGCCTCCTGTTATCTATAGTATATGCCCAAGTAAACAACCAGATCTCAGCTGGTGTTGATGCTTCCCTGGAACTTGCAACAGTGCCATCTGCTTGCATGCTGCCATGTTACTTTTTTTCTCATTTGTGCTCATGAGAAGATCAGTTGGAGCCTCGATCCTCCTTATCTGGTCTCTTATGCTTGTTAAATAAAGGACTATTATTTTACAATGATGTGTAATGTTATCATAATGAAATGTTTCAAACCTTTTGACATCTTTGGCGGGCTTCCCAGGATCAAAGTTCTCTATGAAGCCATTTGGACTTTGAAATTTTCCAGTTGGGCCTCTGCAGTTCCTCAAAGAATGTATCATTTATTTTCTCCCAATTAGGCTACTACTGGATTTTACTATATTGGACTTTATAGGAAACATTGTCAAGTAATTAAATGATGGTAAATATTCTTTAAGGTATGTTCCTGTGGCAATATAACTAACATGAATGTTCTAAAAATTCTATGAAATTTACAAAATTCCAAGGAACACTGAGACAGTTATTTTCAAACGCTCTATTCAATGAAAATGTCTTATCAATTACTGAACTTGCATCTAAATTTTAGCCAAGTCTATTGTCATTCACATTATCTTTTAAAAACATTTGTAATCAGAGCCAGGGAAAACTTTAACCAACACTGAAATTCACAGAATAACTATTAAGAATAGTAGTTATGAAAGAAAGAAGGGTTCTTACAATATCCTGATGCAATCTCAAAAGACTCTGCCAGAACCACAAACTTGCACAAAGGCCATTGCAACCACAGACACCAATAAGTCGGTCAATCAATCTGCAAGGACGTGCTCAGCTGACTATACAACTTCAGACTGATTCCATCTTTATTATGAGTGTGTGTGATTCATTATTTTTATTGTAAAATATCTGCTGTAACCCTTGTTTTTTCCCCTCTTGCCTCAACTTCTTTGAGAATGGTCAGTTTAGTATACAACCAATATTCCTATTCAAGTGCTATTCTATTCCAAATAAATATTCTTTAGAGACTCTCTCTCCAATTTAGGTTAGACTTTTGGTGGAGACCACTAATGAAGTGGCTCTGAGCAGGATTTAAAATTAACTAATTGGCTTTCTATGTTTATCTGTGAATCTGTCTAGGCCTAGGCCTGGAGATGGGCAAGAGATTCATAGTAAGTGAACCTCTATGAGTCACTGGCCCTGGCTGAGACCTGTGAGGCCAGAGATAGCTCGAGGCCAGAGATACCTCAAAGGGCAAGATAAGGCCACAGCTGAAGACACCTTGTCTCCAACACTAATTAAGTAAATAGAGGCTGCAGATGCAGGCTTCTCACTCCTGCTGTCCCACTCCTACCATAAATGTCATCATGGAGATAAGGTGTTTCTCCTAAATTGGCTTAATTTACTACTTGGAGAAGTTTTTGAAGTGACTCCCAAGGTCCTGCTCAGTTCTCACACTCTCCTCAATATCCCCTTTCTTTGTTTGAAAACCTAATAAATAACAGGCCAGAGAAGCAGTTTGTCTCAGCCCCCAGAATCTCAAACTGCTAGAGGGTTTTGATCCTCCTGGAGCCCTAAAATCATATTAATTGTCTGATTTATTTAACCCTGCACCATACAGTCATTTGGGAGATTGGGGATCTTGGTCGGGTCCCTGATACACTTTGTACTTTGTGATTTCTCTGTTCAAGAATATTAGTATTCCCTTTCACTACTGCAAAAGAGAAGGGAAAAAGTATTGTTAGCATCCCCAAGAGACATATTACACATCTTTAAAGAAGTCAGCAAGGGGCAGAGGCAGCAGACAAGGAATACGCAACAGACAATTCCTCTGTGCTTACCTCTCTAAAATGATAGGGGTGGGTGGACTTGAATTTCTCCATGGAATGTTTCACAATAATACTGCTAAGGAAAAAAGTATGAATGCTGTGAGACCAATGGGAATATTTCATTATTGACCTGTCTGACTATGGGAAGGGAGTTCTTACAGGGAAACCTCTCCTTGAATGTGACATGATAAGAATTAGATGGTCTGTTTTGGCATTTCATGCACATAGAGGTTTCCATAATTATGAGATATTGGGGAACCACAACTGCCCAAATAATCTAGCTTAAGTAAACACAAAGAGATTGGCATTCATTTTTCCAAGTATTTAAATGCTTCTCTTTCAAATAAGAGGAATGATTGAAAAATTTAAGTCATTCTTCTCACTTTACGAAGCAGTCCTGGAAGTTCTCCTTCATGCATGTCTTTAGTTTTGCTGGTGTGGCTGTCTTGATGTCCTGAATCAACTCAAACATTTACCTTTCGTGGTTATTTTGACTTTTGAAAAGGGTCAGAAGTCACAGATCTAAAGAACAAGGTGAGTGTGGACACACCCTAATATTTTTAGAAATCTGTTTTTTCATTGGATATAGTATTTGACAGCAGCATTTTTGTTGTGGTTTTGGTTTGTTTGTTTGTTTTTTGTACCAGGGATCGAACTCATGACCTTGCACTTGCTAGGCAGGCACTTGTGCCACTGAACTAAATACCCAGCCTGACAGCAGCATTTTTTGATCATACAATGTAAAGACACAGAAAAGGACTTTCAGAACTCCTTCAGAAAGTGGCAACCAGGTAAGTGTGTTCAGAGTGAGGAAGAGTATTTTGAAGAGGATTAATGGCAATGTGTCTTTTACTATCATTTTATTAAACATTCAGCATATATTTTGATCACACCACACGGCTGGACACAGAACTGTTGTCCTGCATATTGAGCACAAAGGAAATGAATGGTGTTGGTAATGAATACATAGAGAGTTAACAAATAATGTATTTTTAAAAGCTAATGTCTCATTCTGTCTAAAAAAGCTGCTTAGCCAAGTACTATGCTTATTGTTTATCTAATAAAATTATGGTACAAAAGTAATTGATGGAGTCTCTGAAGGATTTAATCTCTCAGACTTCTGCCTGTCATCTGGAACTAGGAAAAAGGTCTTGGCAAGCGTTCAACTGGGTAACACACACAGTTCAAGGTTCTGGAAAATGAGCAACCTACAGAAGTTTCACCAGTATAATGACAAAGCTCTTTTCATTCCTAGTGGCTATTTTGCAAACACTGTCTTTATTTCACTGAATTTCCCTGAATGTAGGAAACCCTATTTTAAAGATTAAGGATTAGGCCCCACACAGGCAAAGACAGTGACTCCAATTACCTACTGCAATATATTAGCTCTAAAGTAACTGTATGTCTACTTTATTATCACCAGAAATCCAGACCCTAATGTAGCAAGGAACCAGCCCCTCACTTCCTGGTCTTCAATTCTTTTGTGCCCTTGATGAAAGATTTCAGTCAAGACTCACAGGCAGCCTTGCAGATGGATAGACAGAGTTTACTGTAAAGTAGATGGAGTTACACCTGGTGGGCAGTGTCAGAAAGACACCTGCACCAAGCAAGATCTGGATATATTTTTACACACATAAAAGTTATTCCTGGGGCTGGGGATTTAGCTCAGCAGCATAAGCGCCTGCCTTGCAAGCAGGCAGTCATGAGTTCGATCCCCAGTACCGATAAAAAAGAAAAAGACAAAAAAAAATTATTCCTGGTGTTCAGGAAACTAGGATGATGATCACTGTTTCATTTATACAGAATATATGCTTATCAATATTTCTCTTTGTAATGTTAATATAAGATTTCTGTAAGTCACCTTGTTCCTTGTCATGCAACAAACATGACAATAATTTAGTTTTAAAATATTCATTGATTTTATTTTTATTCTACAGCCAGGTAACACTTCAGTAGAATAAGTGTTGGCATTGGTTGGGTAGAAAACCTCAGTTTTTTAGGTGGAGAAAGTCTATAAAAAATAGAAATGAAATATGAAAAAGGGACTGGTTATTTCAAAATCACTTTCCTAGTTAGGTAGAGACAGGGAGACAGAAGAACAAAAAAATAACAGATTACATTGCAGTACTTGAGGTTAGTCCTTTAATCTTTTTTTTTTTTTTTTTGTCTTTTCCCTTGTTATCCGAACTCAAGACTGGCTGCTTGCAGGGCAGGCGCTTATGCCACTGAGCTAAATCCCCAGCCCCCACAGTCCTGTAATCTTTAAAGGACTACAGGATATAAGGATTAAATAGAGACAACTTCATCATCATGCCACTTGCAATTGATCTTTTAGGAAACTTGACTATTTCTTTCTCTCTCTCTCTCCATCTCTCTCTCTCTCTCCATCTCTGTCTCTCTCTCTCTCTCTCTCTCTCTCTCTCTCTCTCTCTCTCTCTCTCCAAACTTTAAAAAACAACTTAGATTCAGTTTGATTTCACAAACAACTTAGATTCCACATGGGTGACTCCAGTTTGATTTTTACTTTGGCCTACTGCTAACTAGTGCAGGAGCTTAGTCCAAAATAATGACTTTGGGTGATTTTCATTATGCACTTTTTATTGACCTCAGCAATGCAGTCTTTTCAGTTCCAATAACCAGTCAGGATTATCTTTACAATCTTGCCTTAAGACATGTCATTTTCTAACATTTGTCATAAATGGTCAAGGTGAGATTTAAATAAAAGTATCCCAAATCTAATTTATGTAATGGAATTACTCACTCTGTAAACAGCAAGACAAAAATGGTACTTTGACAAGTTAAATTTTTTTTCTTTACAAATAAGCAGCTTCCTACTCTCTTCCAAAAAAGTAATAAGAACCGTGGGAGCAATGAAACCCAAAATGTGTAACAGTCATTGTACAAAAGAGAGGAAAAGAAAGTGCTCTAAACTATGTAACTGCATGTATATTTAGGTGTATAAGATAGGAAATGATATCACAGAGTTTTATTGGATCATTGAACAGATCTGTTTGCAGTATCATTGTTGGAATGTCCACTTTACAAGCTTTAATTTTGTGACTTGAACAATTATTTCTAAGATGACAATATGTAATCCATTAACTAGTGATTTCCTACTGTTCATTTTTTTTCTGTAAATCTGTAAACTTGTACCCTTTCTCTGCTTTTTTTTCTTTTCTCCTTAAAATTAAAAAAAAAAAAAAAACAAATAAGCAGCTTCTCTAAACTTGCCCAGGTCTAGGCCATAACCATTACCACTACTGTCCTCAGCTCAGATGAAGAGATACAATATGCAAAAACTGGGAAGTTGTGGTCCAGTTTGATTGCTACAGGAAGGTAGGGAAGAAAAGAGCCTGGAGGGGTAAATCAAGCTCGGAATTGTCCACTTTCTCATAGTATTTCCTCTCCTCTCGGTTCCTTAGTATAAGAGACCCTTATACCACCATTCATAGGTGATTTGAGGCAAGCAAGGCCGCTCCATATCCTCAGTTAACTTTGAATAAGGGCTTTTCTTTTTCACCAAAATAAATGAATGGTGTCTTTTGATTTGGTTGGTGGTGAACAAGCAGATCTGAGCATATGAACCTAAGTGGCTGGTAATAGTTATATTGATGGTGTATTGATCAGGGCTGATCCAGATGATCTTGTTTCTGAAGCTCAGCCTTTCCATATTGAATTTAGAACTGAAAGTCAATGGCTATTTACCCATGTACTAATTCAGGGACCCTCTCAGAAACAAACCCTTTTAGGAAAGTCTTCTTGGAGGTAAACAGAAGAATTCTGCCCTAGATAGGCAAAGGATTTTGACATGGCATCCACCCTCCCCCTGGTTAGGGCACAAAAATTAACCCATTTATGCCAAAGATTGCAATTTTTAAATTTTTTTACATGAAATTCGTATATGTTACTTAGAAAAATTCAAGAGACAAGAATTTAAAGAGAAAAAAAAAACTTATGTTTAATCGGTATGGGTATTCCAAAAATAGAACACTAGACATAAAAGAATGTTTTGGTTTAATTCTGGAGACTACATATTCATCAGATCACTGGACAACTCTAGACTTTCTATGAAGCCAGCCTCTGATCATGAGTTAAGGTACTTTTTATATAGTAATTATTTTCAGAGTGGGGTACCCCAGACAGTGAACATACACAGCACTTACCTCCTCATGGAACTCCTAGGAACAGACCTCCCAAGAGGAAGGTGCTCAGAGCACCCTGCCAGGCCACATGCCAGCTGCTTTTCCTATGCCAGAGAGCACTTGTGATTCTCTGCAGTATCATTGGTGAGAGAAGGAAAAGGAGCAACTGCCCTTCTGAAGTTGCACGTAGGCCTCCATTTCTGTGCTGCAGATTTGCAGAGGTCGAGGTAAATGCTTTATGTGTTGAATATTCCTAGACTCGGACACAGCCTGTAATACTTCAAAGAACAGCTATTTCAAATACCCACCTATAGTTATTTCTTTTGAGGGAAAAGTCAAAGAGCTCTCAGCCTGACCAGGTCAAGCTGCTGGCCAGCGTGGTGCACGAGCGCCCCTTCCTGTCGCCCGGGGTGCAGCCTGTGCGGGAGGGCGGGTGCGGGCCACCCTCTTCCTGCCCCCGGGGGAGCTGGCCTCTGTCCCCTTTCTCTGTTCAGTCTGCTCTGACACATCTCCTTTTTCTTACTCTCCTAAGCTGTCCTTGGTGTGGTGGGAGATTTCCTCACTGCAAGAAATTGCTGAAATGCACCTGTTCAGCCTCCAGGAATCTCGTGCACGTTCTACGACTCTGTTTACAGCAGTACTTGTCATTATGAGAGTCTGAACACATTTCTGCATGTCCACTAGTTACATAATGAAACTGTGATATGTCAGTACTTTGAGATGATCTACAACTGTCAAAATGACGTCGATGTGTGTACTAATGCGGGCAGAGGTAAGGCTGTCTAAGATGTAGTCCTCCGTGACAAGTTGCAGAAAGGTACATAAGGTGATTTCACTTCCTAAGTAAGCAAGTGTTTCTGTATATACTAAAGTGTATGTGTCTACATGCAAAATAATTTTTTGGCATGTAAAGCAATTCTAAAACTAGGCTCAAGGAAATAGTCAACTCATGATATTAAACTTTTTATTAAATCTCAGTAATTAAAAAGTGTTGATACAGAAATGGACAAATAGGGTAGTGATACAGAATAAATAGTTCATTAATTGATATATGCACCTATTCAAGGTTGAAATGTGATACAGGGGAGAGTGTAAATTACTGGAGAATATCATATTAGATATTTATTTAGATCCCTACCTCATCACAGATACAAAAATGAATTCCACCTCAGTTAAAGAGCTATATGTTCTGGAGATATAGGTCAGTGGCACAAGTGCCTGTCTGGCCAAGCACAAAGTCCTGAATTTGATTCTCAGTACAAAAAAAAAAAAAAAAAAAAAAGAACTATATGTGAAAAAAATTTTTTTAAATTTTATTTAAAGAAAGACAAAACAAAACGGAAAACGGGTAGAAATAGTACATACTTTCAAAGAAAAAAAATAAACAGTAATAAATCACTTGTTGATGTTTACATACTGTCCTCTTACAAATAATTGTTTAAGATACAAAAGTGAAACATATAAATGGGAATTCAAATAGGGAGACTGCAAATAGTTCTGTTCAACTATCTATTTTTAAAATTTTTATTTAAAGAAAGACTAAACAAAACAGAAAATAGGTAGAAATAGTACATATGTTCAGAGAAAAAAAATAAACACTAAGAAATCACTAGTTGATGTTGTCGTTTTACAAATAGTTGTTCAAGTCTGCTGGCTGGGAAGGGCTTTGCTGTGATGCCTCTGGCTTTTTATAACTGCGATGACCTCTCCCAGGACATAGAGATGCTACACTTGGAATACTTTGAAGAAGCCGTGAACTACTTGCTCAAGCACCCCCAGGTTGTCTGTTCTGTTCATCTTTTAGTTTAGACAGCAGATTCCTCAATATGTCCCCTAGCCAAAGTAAGATTGATTTTTCAATTTAGTTTCCTGAGGATGCACTCGGACAAAATCAAATACCAGGTTTCTTCTAAATCACAGAAAAAAGTACATTTCTAGCTGGGATGATCTCACAGAACATATGACAGAATCACTGAAGCTTCCAATATTTGAATGTCAGGGAGAGTAACAGAGCATCTTGGTTTGTCTAGATGGAAGATTTCAGACCTTTGGTGCTAAGTCTGGCATAGGCCCAAGCAAAGCAGGAGGGCTGGTCATCTTTGTAGCATCATTGCTTTGTAGGTGTGAATTTGTATCTGGCCTCCAGATTTGTTGTGAGAGTTAAATGAGTCGTACACATAAAGCCATTGAAATAAGGTATAACATTTGATGATCAACATGAATTCATTCATGCAGCAAACACTAGAGAATCCAGGTATATGTAGTGAATACAGAGTGAGAAGGACATGAGCTTAGAATACAGTGTGCATACCACAGACCTGCAAATGCAGAGAGGGCCGGGGGAAAAGGAATCGTAACAACCTAAGTGCAAAGGAAATTAATAAGACATTGAGGCAGAAGAGAGGAAGTCAAAGTGGATGAGACTGGACAGAGCCAGGAGGAGCCTCATTTATCACAGATGGAAGTTCTAAACAGTAGTAACCCCACTACTAAGCTTAAATACTACTAACCCTAAATAGCAGTAGTAGTACTATTTGTTGTCTAGATCATTCTTGATAATATGTTTTCTAACATCTTTTGATGTTGGCTACCACTTAAATGTTAGCAACATAATAAAACACAGAAGGAATTAATGATGACATAGACACTGTCAAACAGGCTTATATGGATATGTCAGCTTTTTAATATATAATTGTTGATGAGTTTATAGTGCATGTATCTGCTAGGTAACTATTTACTTCAAATCATTCTTTGAACTAGTATTAATTTTATGGAGAAAACTTTTAAGCACAGGACTTTTTCCTCCCTAGTAGTAGTATTGACAAGTTCATCTCAGAATCTTACTCAAGTGAAAATTTACTTTAATCTTCTTCAGATTCCAACAGGCTTATGGGAGTGTAGCACCCATTGAAGCACTGGAAACTAAGTAGCCAACACTTTTCGGACTGAAGTCTTTCTCCTTGACAGGCATCATGCCAAGTGCTTACATGTAGTTTCTCATTTGACCTTCACATAGACACCGGCATAGAAACCAACTTTTCAATTCTTTACCTCTCCTTATTTTTATCTGTCCTTTTCTCAAATAAAAGGCCCAGGAATTGGGCTGCTTGGGATTTCCAAAGGTGGTGAGCTCTGCGTCTCCATAGCCTCTTTCCTGAAGGGCATCACAGCTGCTGTCATCATCAATGGCTCCATCGCCAATGTTGACATCACCTTGAGGTACAAGGATGTGACCCTGCCCCCTCTGGGCAAAAACCTGAAGCGAGTCACAGTGTCCAAAGATGGCATCAAAGATATTGTGGATGTTCTGAACGATCCTTTGGAAGGACCTGACCAGAAGAGCTTAATTCCTGTGGAAAGGTCTGACACCACCTTCAGGATGACCACAACTGGCAGAGAGTTCTATGCTAATGTGGCCTCTAAGTGCTTACAGGCCCATGGGAAGAAAAAGCCCCAGATCATCTGTTACCCAGAAATAGGCCACTTTATTGAGCTCCCCTTCTTTCCTCTGTGCCCAGCTTCTCCACACCCCACAGTGAGTAGCCTTGTCTTCTGGGGAGGGGAGCCCAGGTCTCATGCCGTGGCCCAGGTGGATACATGGAAACAACTCCAGAGTTTCTTCCACAGACACCTGGGTGGTAACGAGGGGACCATACAAACAAAACTATCATTTTTATTTGATTGTGTGGCATCTGATGCTGATCTCTACTGGGAATAGCTGTCAAATTCATGTGCATATATATATTTTTTTTTAAAAATTTTTTTATTATAAAGAGACTAAACCAAAACAATAGAACAAAGTAAATTAGAGCAGAACAGTGCAAACAATGCTGCACTTCAAAATATGTATTTTTCTTTTTCATACCAGGGACTGAACTAAACCTCAGGCTTGCCAGGCAGGTACCTATGCCATGGAGCTAAATCTCTAACTCTGTATTTTCCTTTTAGCAACTGTCTAAGAGTCCTTCCCCAGAGATATTTATCTATTCCTGAGGAGATTGATTCCACAAAAATATAAGTAATCATAAGAGGTGTTAAAAGCTTATCTATGACTATCATACAACTTGCAGCTGACAGGCTTTCACTAAAAATAAACAAATAAAAAGTGAGTACCACTCATTAACCCTGCCTGCTACACAACTTGAATTTAGTTATATGCTGTTGTAGTTAGGGTTGTACACTGAGAACAATTAGAATCAGGACATGGAGTTTATATTATTTTTATAATGGTCACCGGTAGTTAACACAAGAAAATGCAGGAAATCTATCCACAACACCAAAGACATAGATTATTTAGTCAACAGCCTAAATCCCACAGCAATGTCCCACATGAGTCCAGATAAAACCCAGAGCTCATGGCAATGCCTCCACGAGTCCAACTGGAGGTCCAGAGCCCACAAGAAGGACTCATGCCAGACTCTTTTATGGATCCGTGCCGGGAAGACCCAAGGGTCAGCAGTGGAAGCCAGAAAGTCTATGCCAGCAGGGTGAAGGAGCTGTGCTGGTGGGATGAGGGTTCTGTGCTGGAGCTGAGAAGACACACTCACAACAAAGACCAGGGCTGTCCTGAAAGGCACCACAGCCATCCTCAGTGACATGGAGGCCCCGAGCTCCTCCAACAACAAGCACAATCAAGTACCTACCAGGAAGCCAGCGTGACGAGCCCATCCTGGAAACCAAGCGGCACGCATCTTCCCCTCCAGAGCCAGGAAGCAATGCTTGGTGTGAGGACCAAAGCTTCTCCAAGAGAACCTAACGGCTCAAACAGCAACTCATAGGAGAGCCCACAATGCCTCAACGCGATGCAATAATGTATTAACGCCCCAACACCTCAACACCTCCCTGCTTCTCCACCTATTTATCCTGGCATCTTTCCTCCGGTGGAGCATCTTTGCTCAATGCCATGCTGATGTAATCCAGCTGGCGTTAAGTTGGCCACCAATTCTTAATCCATAACATATGCTAAATGACTACTGGCTAGTAAATTACTGTCTGCATATACAGTGGTCCTTCATGTCTGTGGACTCCACATTGTACATCTGGCCAACTCCAGTTTGAAAGTATTTGGAATTAAATTGTGTCAGAATGGAACACACACAGATTTTTCCCCCTGTTATTCTATCCTAAATAATACGGTGCAGCGACACTTTACACTGTGTTAAGTAACTTAAGTAATCCAGGTGTGATTAAAAAGTATGTGAAAAATACCTGCTGGTTACATGACAGATAGCATGCCATTTTACATAAGGGACTTGGCTTCTTCATACTTTAGTATCTGCAATGGTCCTGCAACCAGTTCTCCATGTATTAAAAAGTTACAACATCAGATTTGAGCTGCTTCTTTTAGCCTTGAGGTAACATCTAAGCTATAAACTGGTTACAAGTTAGATATAAAACTAGTAAAAATTGTCAAAGCAAATACAGATTTTGTTCTTGGATGTCTTCTTGGATGAATATGGATTCTTCTACCAAAGAAACTGTTAGTAGATGACCATATTACTAAAGTTCTGTTAGATCATTGAACAGAGGGTTTGCACTGTCAATGTTTGACTGTCTGTTCTATCAGTGTTTGAGTGTCTAACCACTTTTTATGCTTTGATTTTGTAACTTCAACAAATATTTTAAGCTGACAACATGTAATGTATCAACTAGCAATTTTATGTTAATTTTTTTGAATTCTGTATTATTCTACCTTCTTTTTTCTATTTTGATTTTTTAAATTTTTCTTTTCTTTCTTTCAATTGAAAAAAGAAAAAAAATTCTAAAGAAAGAAACTATTAGGAACCTTTATGATTTTGTTTTTCAAAAGTTGGTACCACATTATTTAGCTGAAGTACATACATGATTGCAACATTGACAGATGTGAAAAGAAATTACAATATGATTTTTGTATCACTTGACATAAATAGTTCCATCATACATTTAATAAGCTTTTCTTAGATCTTAAATGTAGCTACAATAAAGTACCTTAATCAGTGGTTATTGTGTTGTTTCCTCAATTTTGTTTTTTAAGAAGGCAATTCTCAGCAGATGTTTTCCTTCAAACTCAAAAACAATACATTGTTTTCTTTGTTTTGTTGGTTTTACTCACACACTGGTGCTACCATGTCCCTGTCATGGAATCCTCACTGGTCTGTGAAGCAGGGTCCTCTTCATTTATTAAATGAGACACTCAAGTCAATAGAGATGGTCCCTGTAAGTCAGTGTAGAGCGGGGGCTCAGCACCCCAAAATCTACTTGCTTGTTTTGGGACTGCGGTGCTCAGCTCGAGTCTGTGAATTTTCATTTTCTTTAGCTTGAGTCTGTGAATTTTCATTTTCTTTAGACTCAGAGCCATTTGTCCATCAATTTCAGCCACTTCTTGACCGAGCAGCAGAATGCATCCCGGCCTGCATTCACACTCACACACGGGTGCATCGCGAGTTCCCTAGAGCCCTTCTGTGCTGTCTGCAGGACAGCAGTTCCAGTTACTGCATGAGGGAAAGAAATGCATCTTCTTTTACTCATATAGGCTTGTGATAGAGTTACTGAATTGAGAGTGGACAGGGGGTAGGCGATGTTTCATGGCACCATGTGTGAAAAACATCCACAACAGTAGCTCTGGAACCAGAGCCATAGCCTTGATGCAGCATTTGAGTCTGACGGGGAGGTATATGGAGGACAAACAGCTACAAATCGCTTACACCCCTTCCTTGTTAACACATGTAATCTGCCCTTCATTTCCACTTTCCTCTCTTCTTTCTTCTCTTTTCAATAAGCCATATTAGATCCACCAGCCAAGAGTGAACAGAATGATCCAAGACAGTTTCAGCAATCTCCTGTTTATCATGCAAGTCTCATGAAGAATGAGGGTCATGAGGGATATAAAACTCAGCAACAGAAATTTAGAATCTATTAATAATCCAGTCATATAGACCATGTAATTGAAAAGACACAAAGATAATTTAAAGTCTTTTAAGTAGGAGGAGCTAAAAAGAGGCACCATAGATGCCATAGAGAGGATTTATGAAGGGCAGAAGAAAATTATATGTTACTGGGGCAAGTATAAAAAATCCAGATAGATGCTTTTATTTAAAATGTGTGCTTAAAAATTAAGAGGACATCATTTTAGTGACTCTGAAATTATAAAACACCATAGTAAATACAATGGGAAAATTATTCAGTAGAAAATGTTGTGCATCCTAGCTGGCGCAATTCGATCAGGCTGTGGCTGACAGGGAGGGAAGCTGGGCCTCCTATATAAGCTTGCATGTATAAGGAACAAAGAACATGGGAAGAGGCAGCAACAAGAAAGGCTCCTTGGCCCCCAATCCTGAGAAACAGGCAATAGCGGACACTGCACCAATAGACATAAAGCGCCATCTAGAGAGCCTCATAGATCAGTTCAGCAATGAAGTTATTAATGATCTGAAGCTAGAAGTAAGCAGAATAGTTAGAGAAATGCTAAGCACCACCCAAGAAAAAAACAGATGGTGGAATGGAAGAACAGAAAAAGAGGGGAGAATTGTTAGATGGAGAAAATAGAGAAAGCATAGAATACATGAAGCAGGTTTAAAGGGACTACCAGGAAACTAAAAACTATCGAAAACTGGCATAACAGCTTGAAAGAAACTAAGGACAGACTATCTGAACTGGAGGGCAGATTTGTAATATGGGAGAATGAAATGAAAAACTTCTTAAAAGTAACAAAGAAACAAACAGCAATAATACAAAGACTAGAAGATGATAGGAGGATCCATAACTTAAGAATTAAGAACATAAAAGAAGAAGTAGGGACACAAACAAATGAACTACAAAAGCTACTCACAGAAATAATCCAGGAGAATTTTCCTAATGTAGCAAAAGATAAAGATACTCAGATGTATGAGGCATACAGGACCCCAGCCACCTACAACCCAAACAGAGCAACACCTAGGCATATAATAATAAAAATTCCAGATACAAGAACAGAATATTAAAAGCTGTCAGAGACAAGAAACAGACCACTTACAAGGGAACACCCATCAGAATTACAGCAGATTTCTCTGCACAAACCATCAAATCACGAAGAGCGTGGGGGGAAATAATTGAAGCTTTGAAAGATTATAATCTCCAGCCAAGATTGATATATCCTGCACAACTGTCCCTGGAAATTGATGGAAAAACAAGGTGCTTCCAGGATAAAGAGGAACTGGGGGAATTTGCAACCACCAATTCAACTCCACAAAGAGTATTGCAGGATATTCTAAAAAAGAAAAATACAAAGAATCCAGAAATAGTGGAGGGGAGGCCACAATGAATGGAGCAGAGAACAAAATGAAGAAGACAAACTGACAACTAATGACAGAAAAAGAGCTCAACAGAAATGAGGCAGAGAAGATTGGATGATAGGAACAGCTATTTTGGAGAAAATGACGTCTTAATAGGTAATACTGATTTAGTATCATCTTGTTTTGAAGTCTCATCAAGCTTTTGTTCTTCTGTCTCCATTGGTCTAAACAGATGGTATTTTATTGGATTTTATTATGTATGATAGTATAAGCAAAAACTTTTAAAGACAAGGAGATTATACAGAAACCATTGTTCATTTTCTGTTAGTTGATTCTAAATACCCTGTAATGCTGTCATTCTCTTACATGGTTTTACACTGTTTTGATATACTTGATGCTACAGTATACGAAGTTGTACTCAAGGATTTCAAGAAAAGAGACAATATGGTAACTACTTTTATGTCAGGAT